TTGATTACTTTGGGAATCGATAGCTACTCTGGACATTTTCGAAACATGTTGAGCAAGATGAAGTCGCTACTTTTTCCTCCCTCCATTTTTAGACTCATGACTCTATTAAGGGAAATTTAATCCTTATGTTTCTGATTCCTTTACACTTAACTCATCAAAATGTTGTTTTGTAAGAGCTCTTTGAAGTCAAGGAAGCCTTTTAAGTCATTTTTTATGAGACTTTTTCAAGCCTCTTTTCTTAGGAACAGGAAGTGGCAGTTAGCCAACAGTTAACAAACTCAAACACCAAAAGGTTCAACTTGGGTTTGCATCTCTCAACCCACAAGTGTTTGAATGGACTCTTGTCATGACCCATCTTTGCTCTATCTGTGGTGCCAATAGCCATCGTAACAGTTTTAATTGCCGAGGGGACGCCAGCCTCTCAACCGCCTGCCAGCTCGCAAGTGTTTCTCTAATCAATCCACTTCATGCTAAATTATGACTCATTTAACTTTAAAGGAACTACTTTATTACCCAATCGGCCTAGCGTTTTTTGTGACTTTTGTGAGAGCCATTTAAATCATCACAAAGCTACCTAGATAGAACTTTTAAATCCAGTCACAAGCAAAAATACCCAAGAAGTCAAGTTCACAGGACAGGTGAATGCTAATTGGCCATGACGGCTTCTACCCTCAGACACAGTTTATTTCAGCCGCTCCGCTTCTGAGTGAAAAAGATAACATGGATCCCGAGATTCTTTAGAAAAGAAAATTAAAATAACAAATAAAGCATCTGGCCTCAGAAGTTTTCAATTGATTTACACTCTCAACGGTTGTTAAGAATAAACTGGCCTCCATTTTTAAGGAAATCGAGAGCCCAAACAAGCACAGTTCTGTTGTGGTAGTTCCCTCTGCCTAGTGCATTTGAAGTGATTTTGTTTAGTAGGCTTTAAAATCACCCTGGTAAGTATTAATTCTGCAGTTTGGAAATTATGCCACAGTGAACATGCCAAATGGGAACAGCTGATGGACATGTTTAAAAGCTTTAAATGTAATGTAGAAAGGTGTAGTGAGGAATAATTCCACAAACAGGAGAGCTTTAGTCACCAAAACTGATGTGAAGAGAGCTCAGGCAGAATGCTACGCCTCTTCTTCACGGTTGCTGTGACTCGGTGCTCTGTGGACACTGATCATCATTCAGGCTCAGGATCCTGGGGATACAGGCAACCCTTGCATAGATATTGGGATGGCACAGTGGCTAAGTGCCCAGGGGCCCTGGAATCAAAACGTGACACTATCCATCACCAGCTCTGTGATCTGGGGAAAATGGGGATAATAACAGGACTTATCTCAATGGGCTGGTGTGTATCATCTTAAATAAGATGATGCAGGTGAAGCGCCTGGTAGATGCTTGATAAACTATGATGTTGAGGATGACGGTGATGATGTAGAGGACCAGGAGGTAGTGTAGCAAAGAAGCAGTCACTCAGGCATAAGTCGAAATTATAAGCTCCTCACGTCCTTTAACCTTCTTAGGAATTTTCATTTATGTCCATGGCTTTGAGTGACACTTCATTATTGACAATTCTCAAATCCAGCCCTTCCTCCAGGCCTCTCCCAGGATGAAGCCTAGACCAGCATCAGCCTAATCTTCGGTCCCTCTTCTGAACTATAGGCCTTTTCTCTATGTTCCTTTCATATCCATGATTTTGCTCTTGGTGCTCCCTCTAACTTCAATGCCTTTCCTTCTTGTCCACCTTTGGGGAAAATGTCTCCTCATCTTCCCATGATAAAGCACCGTGTCTTCTGTAAGAGCCTCAGACTCCTTTGTGCTCATTTAGGTTGCCTCCTCTCCGGATGCTTTTATGCTGCCTCACTCCGGTTTCATTATAGTGCTCATGCTGTTGCGCTGCAAATCACTCGCATGTTTGTTTCCACACTTCCCCGTGTGCGCTGTAGGACGGAGCCTGCACATGGCATCTTGGGATGCCAGCACCTGACATGGCGCCTAGTATAGAGTGGGCATTCAAGAAAAACTTGGTGAAGAAATGAAATGTGTCTAGAGAAATAACAGGAACATGAGGTGGGTTGGAAATAGTTTTGGTTGTATCCATTTTACTTCTACTACAGGGGCTCTTGACTGTATGTCTCAATTCTCCTTGTTGTCAGTCATGTCTAGCAAATTTGAGTGTCTTGGAAGTCGTCTACATGGATGGGTGAGTTTTATCTTTCTGTGTGAAAGATATGCACCAGGGCTCTCTGCAGGAAGAGTACATATTCTATTTCCCATGTTATATATTGTATATCACAGCCCAGATATTCAACTAGCTCCGCCATACCTGAGGTTTTCCTCATTGATAAATTGGTACCTGGTATAGAGGAGATATCCGATATTTGGTGAATGAATGTTTAAAAGCAAAGAGTAGTAGCATCTGGATAAATTAAGATGAAACTTGGTGTTTCTTTTTTTGCACTTCTTAGAGTAGGTGCTTCAGTTCCATGGAGCAATTTTAGTCTTTAGAACGACTCATTGTGCTTGGCATGAGCTCTCTCTAATGCTCATGTGACAGTGTCTCCTCCTCCATCCTCATTCCTACTGAGACCTCCACAACATTCTCCCCAGCGTGGGACGTGCTGAGAAACTTATGCACAACCTTCAAAACCCAACTGCACATGCCCTGTGAAAGTTGTAAGTCTCCAACTGTGAGTGATTGATGCCCAGGGCCAGGCTTTAACATAAAACTCACCAGATGGCAGACTGTGAAGAGCTGTGTTTTGCCTGGTTTCAAAGCCATTTTATAAATTGTGAAGACATTCTAGCATTTTTAAAAACCTAGACGTGAGAATTCTAGAGTCTAGTCAACTGCTGAGAGCAGCTTGAAACGCTGAGCCCTTAGCCTCCGCACAAGGGCCGGGCCTCTTGCTCAGCCTATTTCACAACCCTCAGGCTTAGTGGAGACCGTCCTAAAGGGTCCCGTGAACTGCCATTCATAAACCGCTAATTAGTCATGAAATTCATTTAAGAATGAAATAGAATAGAACATACCAGTATATTTTACATAGTAAGAGTAAGTATTATTCCATTAAACATTTTTTTTTTTAAAGTGTAACACTGTGTTCTGGGTCTTGATGTAAAGACTAATTTCTTACTCTGGGTTGTAGTAAAAACAGTCTGAAAGCTGCTGTCTTAGAAACTCTGAGGCAATCTTGGATCGAGGAATTGCAACCATCCTATAATATCAAACAGCTAAACTGGGACACGGCTCAGCACAGACGCACGTGGCTTTGGTATGTCAGGTGGCTCTTACCAGTGCCAGCTCTCAGTTATTCACAGAGACGGAAGACAAGAATATCTTGGATAATTTATACATTTCAGATTTCTTCTGTCTAATTTTACTCACTTTTCCCCTGAATTTGAGAAACATCTATTAAATTTCTATTATGTATCATGAACTATTCTGGATGTGAAGAGACAGCAATGTAAAAGTCAGACTTTAAACTCATGGAACTTAAGATATTTTCTCAAAATAATCTTATAATTCTGAGTTACAAAACTGTTTTTTAAATCTCCTTGTCTCCAGCTGTGGACCTTCTCTAATAAACAGGCTAATAAACAGAAATTGGTCAAATAGGTGAACAACCAAAAGAAAAAAATGGGGAAATATTGAGCCTGAAAATCACATAATTAACCCTCGTACTCAAGGTAATAGGGGAAGTAATAATGTCACACAAGTTGGACTTCTTAAGTTGGCAAAACCCCAAAAATCTTCATTTCCATCTATAAGTGCAGAAACTCTGAGTTTTGTCAGTGTAACTATTGCCTGAACATCTTGGATTTCTTCCTAGGAAAGGAAGCCCCCCATTGCATTCTGATTCAGACCTTAATTCTTCTCTGGGAGCAAAGATAATGTACCAGCTTCTTTTCTTTTTTCCCTTGTTGTTTATCTTCCCTGTTTCTAGTTGATCTATGATGCATTGTAACATTTAAGTCCTTTCAGCATAATCCATCATAAATATTTTATTTTTCATTAACTGTTAAAGTAAGGAAGACAACATACTTTGTAAAGAGGAAAAACAAAGGAAATATGCCATGGCCTCTAAAAAAGTTTCCCATGTTTTGTTTACATTGGAAATTCAGAAGCTGACAATATCTTTCCTTCCTGCTTCTTGATGTAGTGAAAAGCACCCCACGTAAGTTTGACTATGCTGGTTCAAAATATTTATACAGTCAATCCCTTATGTACCCAAATACTCTTCTGCAACAGAATTCCACAGTATAGGGGCTTAATAGTTTCTCTTTTCTTTTTTTCTTTCAATAAGTTTAACTTGTCTTGACTATCATATAATTTAACTTTATGATCCATCCCACTGTCCTGCAGGAAACCTTCTTTTAAACATGATTATATGCTTCAAGAACGAAGCTGCTAATTTTTCACTGAGTTGCATTTTTTATGGTTGCTCCCCTTCTTCCTGGTAGCATATTTTGGATGACACATCCATAGCAACGGTTGTCGTTTTATTTATAAGTAAACTGAAGAAGAAGCTTGGACTTTGGCTTGCTTGAGTACACAAAGCACATCCAGATTGCAACTGTCATCGTGTCCACTGGTGGGGGTGGGATGCAGGGTGTATCAGGACATCCAAAGAAATCTGTTCTAGGGGAGGAAATCATCAGTATTCACTAGGCAAAGTGAAACAAACTGTGGCAATGTCCATTCTTTTAAAACATACTTTAAGTTTAGTGTTTAAAAATAAGTATAAGTCAGAAATAGGGTTGAACTCATGGCCAACCTGACTCCACTCAATAATGAGTTCAACAAACATGCATTGAGGACTTACTGTGTTAGACATTGTGGCAACTACAGAGATAAATAGAATGCCATTTTCAACTCAAAGAGTTGCGTCCTGTGAAGTCGATATATGTGTGGATTGCACAATGTGAGGCAATATGTGTTAAGACTGGAATAAGGTACATTAAGGTCAATTGGGCTCAGAGGAATGAGGAGTGTCTATTTCTAGCAAGGAGCATTGGGAAGCGTATGATAAGGAAGGGAGAGTCCTAGAGGAGAGGCGGGGTTTAATCTAACTACTGGGATCAGGAAAGTGCGGGGAATTCCAGACTGGGTGCCCAGAAGAATAAAGGTTGGTTTTCCATTTTGACTTGTGAATGCAGAGAGAATGTCAAAAAGGCAAGTTGAGGCTTGATTTTAGATAGCCTTGAGTGTTGTAGTACAGAGTTTACATTTTATACTTTAAAGAGACGTTCATAATGACTTTCAACAAGAACCTGACGTATTCTTGTTATTTTGGTTTTAGTTTTAGCTTTTTTCAAATATTTTTTTTTTAAATTTCTAAATGTTGTTTTATTCTAACTTTATTTTTTGTTTGTTAGTTTTAGGATGATAAGCAGTGGGTAGCTAGCAGGAAGTGATAATACATTAGAAGACAGAGGCTAGCAGGATGGTGCCCACTTTGGGTGTGATCAGAATAGTCTACAGAAAAAGGAAACAAGTTTGTCAGTAGGAAGGCACGCAGGATGAGGAGAGACCTTGATAGTCAGATGGACATGACTTGGTCACTGATGGACTGATGGACGGGTGGTTGGGGGCCGTAGATGGCTATTCCAAAGGTGTTTGCTTTTGTGACGTAGTAGGTAGTAAAATCATAATGGATTCATGGCTCACCAGAAGAAGAGTGTGTTTTGTGGTTGTTGAGGGCAAAAGCTGGGAAAGTGATTGTGTATGTGTGTATGTATGTATGTATTTTTTGCCAAAATAATTGGAAACATATTTAGAGTGGTGCTTCTCATATTTTCATGCACACATGGGTTGTCTGCAGCTCTTCTTAAAATGCAATTCTGGTTCCGTAGGTCTGAGTGGAGCCTGAAATGCTGTTTTTCCCCTTAACTCCCAGGAAATACCAATTCTGCTGCTGATTCATGTATCCTGGGAAAGAAGTTAGTGCAGGAAGATGTGTTTCTATTTTTATCTTTGGCTTTTATTTATTTATTTATTTAGGCCTTAATTTCTGTGTCACAAAATTGGTAGGCCATCTTTTTTTTTTTTTTTTTTTAAATATTTTATTGTTCCAATACATTTGTCTCCATTTACCCGCCACCACTCTCCCCTGAGGAGGCCATCTTAATGGAGGTTAAAATTAAAGCCATGGGACCAGAGGCAGGGAAACTACAGAACATGGAATACAGTGGGAAGTGGCAGGGGGACAGAGTCAGCACATGTGCTCAAACAAGAAGGTCAAGTGCAAAAGAGGCAGGGCTAGCCAGACACATTTTAGGAAAACAGGGAGAGCTATAATCATGAAAGCAAATGGAAGTGTTTGAAAAAGTATAGTAGTTCCCAGAGTCAAGTGCATCAGGACTGGGACCAGCGAATATTAAGTGCTTTCTAAGCCACTGCTTTCTGTAGAAAGATCAAGGCATAGATTAGATGGTAGAATTGAATGAAAGATGAAGATGAAGCAAAATGGGTATGAAGCAAAATTGTTGGTGTGTGGCAGCACACACAGATGATTTCTTGAGAATAGTATTGTTTTTAAAGGGACTTTTAAATAATTTTTTCCTTATTTTTTATAAGAAGACTGCAGCACACTAGAAGACCAGCGGAAGGAGCCAGGAGGGAAACAAGAAGATGACTTCTAACAAAGTCAGAGCGGACTCAACAGCACCGAAGAAGTTAGCTTTGGACAAGAAGAGGGTATTTATGTCTTTTTCAGCTGAACACTGCCGTATAACAAATCAAACTTAGGGGCATAAAGAAGTACCATTTTATTATTTTTTTTCACCAGAGGTGGCTTCTCTCTGCTCATGTCATCTCGGCTGGGCTGGCCTGAAGGGGTCACCATAGGCACCCGAGGGTCCAAAATATCAGAATCATTGGTGTCACCCCTTAGCTTGGCTGACTGAAGTACTAAGGCCCCTGTTCTTCTTCCTTCCTCTCATCCCATTGGCCCTGCCTGTGGGATCCCTGGACTCTTTCACCTGGTGGCTCGGGAAAGAGACAGCCACAGGCCTCTCACGGCCACAGCACCGAAACCCACACAGCATCCCTGCTGTCACGTCCTTGAGGTCAAAGCACTCGGCAGGTCACAGGGCAGTGAGATCCAGGGCGGGAGCGGACAGCACGAGGACGTAATGCAGAGACCCACCATGCACCTGGGCACTTTATAATGACTTGATTGCGTTGCTGCTAAGACAAAGGGAAAAGAGAAAAGACAGTGAGGATAAAGAACATTCAGAAGGGAGGAGGGATTTGAGGGTGTTCAGGTTGAATGGCTTCGTTTATAGACCGAAAAAGCTCATCTCTTAAAGGAAAAGTACCCATGAAAGCAGTTCTTTGAGTCAGACTGTGATTCCTTTTTTCTCTTTTAATTTTTTGTTACTATATTGCCTTGAAAGAGAGAGAGAGAGAGGAATAACAATTTGTTGTTCCAGTTATTTCTGCATTCATTTGTTGATTCTTGTATCTGTCCTGATTGGGGATCAAACCCAGGGCTGATTATAAGTTATACTACTCTGGGGTTCTGAAATAAAGCTGATGTTAGGGGAAGCCACAGTGATAAGAACTTGATTTTAACAGAAATTTCCTCTTTTTTTTTTGAGTATTTTTGAAATGCATATGTCATTTGCACTTTCATATTTAAGGTGATTTTTGTAAAAATAGTATCAAAAACTGAGAAGGGTCTGAGATTTTATCATAATTACAGGCTAACAAGTTAGCTTGCCACAATATCTTAAATGCAGGTGGAAGACGAGACTCCTGTGCCAGAGATAAAAACCTTCCTTACACAGCAGTAGCCATATCCAGGACATCCTTATTTCGGGGGGTTGCTTCCCTCATCTCTATGCCTCACAGCAAAGGGAAGAAGGCATGGGGACAGCTGAACTCATAGCGGGTTGGGTAGGAAGAGAGAAGCCCAACCTCAGAGAACCGGACTCTTTTATAATGGGCAGTAGCCGTGCTTGTTCTTTCTCAGAGGGAAGTAGAGGGTGGGGCAAAAGTTGTGAGTATGCAAAACACAGATTTTATTCCTACATTTTCATTTATTAATTATTGTATTATTTTCTATAGGAATGACTGTAAATCTATTTTTGCCTCACCCTGTATTTTTGTTAGACTGTACAATAAGCATGTTTGTCTCTTACCATGGAATAGAAGGAGACACTATCTTTACCTTCCAAGGTTGCATGCAAACCTGTACTTCACTGCAGAGAGACTTGATTCCTAGCTTCTAATACTGCCTGTTATACAAACATCCTTTAAAAGATAATCCTGAGCAAAGACAGGCAGTGCCTCTCTTTGCAAGACTTTCAGAAGCGTGGGAAACCCATGGAGAATTCTCTTCCAACAACTAGTTTTGAAATATTACTTCATTGTGCAAGAAATGGTCAAAATAAAATCCAAATAACTTTTTAGCATGAAAAATATTTTATAGTCACTTCAGTTCTTAATTACTTTGACTATTTTAAATTTATGGTATCCTTATTTATATTTAACATTTAGTATAATCACTAATTTTTCACATAGACAACGAATGTACAAATAAGGCTTTGCTGTGATGATTCATACTGGAGCCTGGGATCTATTGAGATTTTATTTTTAAAGATTTTTTAAATTTTATTTATTTATTTTTAGAGAAAGGGGAAGGGAGGGAGAAAGAGAGAGAGAAGCATTCAGTGTGTGGTTGCCTCTCACACGCCCCCTACTGGGGACCTGGCCCGCAACCCAGGCTTGTGCCCTGATTGGGATTCTAACTGGTGACCCTTTGGTTCTCAGGTCAGTGCTCAATCCACTGAGCCACACCAGACAGAGCTCTATTGAGATTTTTTTAAATAAAAAGTTTTAAACCAGTTAAATGTGCATAATATTTCCATAGAACACACCAGTAGAAAACATGGAATAATCTTTAACACATTTGAAGCTGTGCTTTATTGAAGACTGAATAAAGAGCTCACCACACACTTTTAAAGAAGAGACAAGGATGAGAGTGTCATAATAATAGATGCTGTACGCCATTGAGAACTCTGATTTCAGGGTTTGTTAGCTTGATTGAGACTTTGGGGACATCACAGTCACTGGGGTATCAGCGGTCATGATGGCCCTCCCAGGATCAGACCTGGGCAGGTGTCCTTGGCTTTATTACCTAGACTCGAGCTCATCTCAGAGTCTTCTCCTATGGGACAGATGCAGACAGTTAGGGTCAAGGCCATGCCCGGGTCTACAGATACCCTGAGGCGATTATTCCAGCCAGGATAAGGGGTGGATGGGTGGCGGCATGATGTGGATTTAAATGCCCAGGGTACCATGGGGCAGTGTGGATCTGCTGCAGCTTAGGGGTAATGGACCCAGGGGTCTCCTCCAAGCAGGACAGGAAGCTCAGAGTGCCCATGGAAAGCTTTCACTTGTTGGAGTTTGAACACAATTCTTGCTAATCATTAGTAGTTGTTATATTTTTCTAACAGCTCTAAAGAATCAAATCTGTTTTATTTTATCTATAAAGATAGGTGCAGAGCCTATTATATATTTAAGTTTACTCAATAGGACAGTATGGGAAAGGGTTGTTAATTTTGAATAACATGTAAATAAGTGTACATAATTAAGACCTCACAAGGACAGCAAGGCATGACATGGGATTGAAATTGTTCAATTCCTGACTTCAGGCTTAGAATACTAATATTAATTAAATTTTCTGTGGTTGTTTTCTCCTAAATCTATGTTTGCATTTTTTTCCCTTTGGTTTAGTTCAGTTCAGAGTACAACTGCATTTAAGTGGGGAACACTAAGTCAATTATTTGTCTTCTGAATGTTCCAGTAGAGTCTGGTAACTTGAAATACTGAAGTGGTTTGGAATATAGCCAAAAAGAATAGGGAAAGAAATCACTGGAAAGAGCATATATACTAATATGAACTCCTTTTCCAACATTCAACGTGTTTGATGTTTTGTCCAAGGGCTTCCTTAACCCCTTCCTAAACACTGGCTGTCCAGACACATGTCCATGTTCATGTTACTTTACTTCTTTCAACATTTGCTTCCTTATTACTTACTTCCGTAGCTCTTTTATCTACTGTTTCCTTATTCTCTTCTTTTTCTCTTTCAATAATATTTTTTCAATACCTCCTTTTACTACTGGGTGTTTTTAATTGTTCCAAAGGCCGAGTATTGCTACCAGGATGATAAGGATGTGGCTTTGGAGAAATTAATACATGCTTAGTTATATGGAAAAGCTCATACTTCATGTTAGGAGATTCCGGTTTCCGGGTGGGGATCTTTACCATCTAGACTCTGTGGCTTCCCCTGTAATTTGTAAGACTGAGCGCCCTGTCCAGGCTGACTGTGTGGGGCGATCACTGAAAAGAACCCTGGTTCACAGAACCAGATCTGTCACGCCCCAAGCAAATGACAGCACTGACAGAAACGGGAGAAAAAAGATCTTCCGTAACCAAACCCTGCTTTTTGACCACTGCCACTGGGCTCGTTTACTGCTCTCAAGCAGTGCCTGGCATTCACCAGAGGGTCACTTCCGCTGAGCTGGCTGCGCCAGGACAAGGGGCAGGGCGTGTCGTGGAGGGGCAGGAATAACAGCACTTTAAGCAGAGGGAAAGCTGCAGGAAGGGACGACACCTGAGGCAGCTGCTGCCATTGCACAGGGAGTGGCAGGCAAATGGCGGTCACGAGAGGCCATCCCAGGAGTACAGCAATCACTTGTGGCTTCTTCCGCCAGGAGGACCCCCTGCCCACTGCTGGCACCAGACATCTATTCCGTATTAACAGTTATCACTAGGTTACCTTTTCCTTAGGTTGAAAGGACTCTGGGGCCTTGCAATGATACTCTCTTGAACACACGTGCCCGTCGAACCCCTCGGTCGGGGAGAAACGCAGTGGTGTGGTGGGAAGCGATGACTCGGAGAGCAGGAAGAAGGCACCATTCCCTGACGGCCTGCATGAAATTGGGCATTTGCTGATGGATGGCCATCGGCCAGGCTGAACGCCTGGAGGTGGAGAATTTAGTCAAGTTGAATTTAGCCTCTTCCTCAAGCGTATAGCCTGATGTAAATCGGCCAGAACACCAGGGAATTCACAGGCACTGAAGGTAAACTCAGTCCTTCATGATGTCAGACAAGACAAGATGAAGTGTCAGAAAAATGAGCTACAGATGCTTTCCTGCAGAGATCTTGGAAGAAAGGTTAGTTCTTCTTCAGCCAGGAAGTCCTCTTCCCTGCAGGGCGCAGAAATCTCTGTATGGATGCAGTGTGCTGAGGCCTTGTTGAAGGGAGAGAGGAGGACTTGGAGGGTCGGGGCGGCGGGCTGACCTGGCTAGGGCAGAGCGGGCAGGACCAAGACAAGGCCAATGGCGGGCAGGACCAGACATGCAGACCCCGATCCCCTCACTGGTCAGACGTTTGCTTTTGATAGACATCTCCACCCTCCAGAGACAGCACACGCGGCATGCAAACTCGTGGAAAGGGTTTGCTCTTGAAAGTCAGGAGAAAGGGTCTAGCTGCACCCCTTGCCCCCCGCCCCTCAGTCTTCTCTATTTCTCTTGTCACCCTCACTTCCCACTAGTGTGTGAGGCTCATTCTATCCCAGGAATGGTGCTCGCTGCCAGGGCAGTCACTGACTTGGACTTGGCCATTCAGAAGGCTGCCCTCTGTTGAGAAGAGAGATAAAAATAAAAGATGGCAGTACAGTGTACTTCGGTATTATTGGAGGCATGTTCAAAGTGCAGCGGGATCCTGAAGATGGAGTCTCTAATTCTAGGGGAGGTATTTTAAGGGATGATTTAAAGAAGGGTGACATTTATGCAGAAATTTGAAGGATAACTAATAGTTAACTAAGTACATGGTTCTAGGGCTTTGAAGGTTGGTTTAGAGAGAGGAAAAGATATTCTAGGCAGACACAGACTACCAGAATGCAGAAGGGATAAACACAGAGAAGGAATTCAGGATACTACAGGACTGCTGTGTAGGAAAGAAGAGATAGAGGTAGGAATGAAGTTTGTAAGGAGGCATGGGGCAGATAAGGAAAGGCTTTGTATGTTGCGGTGTGCCTTAATTAGGGAGTGCCTGCCCAGATCAGGACTTTCTGTGGGAACTGCCCATCATTCACAACCTTGCGGAAGGTGTAAGTCAAGTTGACATGTTTGTCTCTGTCTGTCCCTGGCCACAAGTGCTTGGCCAAGAGATGGTTAAATGACCCCAAAGGAACAAAACCATAGACTTGGCTGAATCCATCAAATGACTTCCTTAAAAAATGGCCGTGGCTGGTGTGGCTCAGTGGATTGAGCACCAGCCTGCAAATCAAAGGATCGCTGGTTCGATTCCCAGTCAGGGCACATGCCTGGGTTTCAGATCAGGTCCCCAGTAGGGGGCGCGTGAGAGGCAACCACACATGGATGTTTCTCTCCCTCTCTTTCTCTCTCCCTTCCCCTCTCTAAAAATAAATAAATAAAACCTTTAAAAAATATGAACTAAAATAACAATCATATCAGCGTGTGATGAATGCGTGAGCAGAGGTTACTTAGAACTGGGCTGGGACAACCCTTCTCCACCATGTACCCTCCTATCATAGAGCTTGCAGGTCTACAGAGAGAAACAAGGTAACAGAACAGGTGCTCAAAGAGAAGCAGGGACATGACGTCATGTGACTCACGAAGGAGGTTCTTAAGGTGCACTTCCTGCCTTTGTGAGATAGTCTAGTAACTTTGAAGAAATGCTCCTTTTTGGGAGCGGGGAGGGAATCAAATTACGTTCTTTGAAAATGAACAACACTTGAATGCATGATGTTCTAAAGAGTTTAGATTTTATCTTGTAGCCTTGGAGATGCCATGAAAAATATTAAGCAAGGGGTATTGTCATCGGCTGTATTTTGCTGTCATAACATAACTTGTCTGCAACATGGAGATTGATTCAGAGAGGACTGAACTCAGAGGGAGAGAAAAATGCTAAGAAGCCCTGGGATTATTCTGGGTAAGAGCTGCAGAATTCCTGAATTAAGGAAGGGACCTGGGGAAGGGAATATAGACCTGAGAGCTATTCGGAAAGCTCAGACAACAAAACCCAGTGAATGACTGTTGTCAAGGATCATGGGTGATGAATTAGTTTGGGTGAATTGAAAATCGTAAACATTGTAAAGAGTTCAGAAGGAGATAGATTTGCTTGTGAAGAAAAGTGAAATTAGTTCCAGAGACATTGAGGTACGTGGAGGACATTCCCATGGAATTATAGTCTCCTAGGAAGATTCTGGTCTACCACATACACACGGCAGTTGAAACAATGGGTATGCAAGTGATTGACGATGTGTAATAAGTGAAATAAGAAATGTAAAGGTCTAAAAGAGAACCAGGAAAAACAGCGAACTCAAGGGCCGGACAGAGAAAACAACTGAGAAGGAATGAAGGAGAGGTCTAAAAAAAGCCAGGAGAACAATGGTCAGGAAAAAAATTAAATTGTTTCCCAAAAAAGTGTCAAATGATGCAGTAAGGTCAGTGGCTATAAGACTTGTATTTTGACAATTGAAGGGCCACGGTGGACTCCGTCATGAGGTGTGCTGTGATCTGAGGAACAGGCTGCTGGTCTGGGCAGAGACTGCTTTGGGGGGCCCCGGGCAGAGTGAGTGGTGCCCATAGGCCCACTTCAGACACAGGCTGGATGTCCTGGAAAGGCTGTGAAGGATGTCTTGAAGAACTACACAAACTTGCAAGTCTGGGGATTTTAATATTTTCTAACCACAGAGTTCCTTTATTCTGTGTTTTAACAACTATCTGAGAGTATTTAAAAACTGCATTTTCCCCAAGCTTATGAAATGCAAATGGGCAAACTTCCACTTTGCTAATGAGAGAATATGATTACTGTCTAATCAAAATAATTTAATGGCCAAGTAAGATCATTTAAATAATCTGGAAGAGTCATAAATGCACATAAGTAATTTTATGTAATTTTATCTACCTCTCCCAGCTGAAGTCACTGCAAATCTCACCCATTCAGTCCTGAGCGGATGACGCCCCGCTGACATGCTCAGCAGCTGTGCAGCCCCGGGCCCGGGGTCCCGTGTGCCTGTGGGCGAGCCGGGGGCGCCCTGCTCCCAGCCCCTGCAGGTGGCTTCTGGGGCGCTTTGCCTCGCACTTGGGTTAGTCTCCCTCCTTGGCGGACTTCGCTCTCTTTCTATCTGGACTCCAAGTTCACTTGCCACCTGCCTCTTACTCCCTTCCTTTGCTTTCTGATAAGCACTCCTGGACCCTGATGTGAACATGAATCAGACCTGAATAAGCCCCAGTTCCCCGTCCCTGTAGAACCTCGGCTCCGACCCAGCTGAGCGAACTTCCGGCAGCTCCTCTCCGGCTGCCTCCCTGCTCCGCGTGGCCGCGCTCCCGAGGGCTCAGGCTGCTGGCCCCTGTTCATTAAGGTTCATCATTTTTAATCATAGATAAAGCCTTCTTTAACAGAAAAAGCATTCCATTTGCTTCTGTATTTTTCCAGAGGCAAACTGAAGTGCCAGAGAAGAAACGAAATGTCACATTCAACTCAAAGGAGTGGGCAGGCTCTTCACCTGAAAACACTCCCCAAATGTCCCCTTTTTGGGAGGGACGTGAATGAGCAAAGCAGAGGATGTGACCATTTTTTCAGTGGAGTGTTGCTGCTTTGCAGTGGACAAGGAGTTATCAGGATGTCTATGAAATCTTTGCTTCAGGATTAAGGGTCCGAATGAATGTCTTAGGAATTGGTAAGGAAAAATCTCGGATACAGTTAATATCCTGCTGTAGTTTGGTAGACAAATAATCTTGCGTATGCCTATTTTTCCTGGGTAAAAACTGGTATACCAATTTAAAGACAAATTTTATTGTCATGTGAAACTATTTTTACATTTGAGATTATCAGAGGGAAATATATTATGGTAAAAAAAAAAAGCAATACAAGTTTAAAAAATGTAGTCCCAAAGAAATATATTATTACAGTGTAACTCCAAAATTGGTTCTCTCCTTAGTATAATATTATCTTTCTGTACCTCCTTGTTCCTAAAACAATAAAATAAAATCTAAAACGATCCATTGTTTAATTGGTTTTTGAAACATTTTTGGCTTTAATTCTTAAATTTTAGGATTTTGATATTTTGAAAAATAATGACCATGGATTGTTTCCAGTTTGGAAATGTTTTAAGATTATTTTTGAACATTAAATGATTTTAATAAGCCTTTTTAAAAAACACCCTGTTAGGCCAATATTTTGGGGTGTCAGGTATATTTTCTGCTCTGATGAAATATTTAGGTAGTTTCTGGCCAGAGAAAGTCAATAGAATAGGGCTGAACACTTTATCAATATATTGAGATTCTTTTTTATTCCCAGATCACAGACAGATGGACAGGGAGAGCTTTGCTCTTGAAGAGTGAGTGTTCAACAGCTAAAAATAGCCCTGGAATGTGAAGTCACTGAAGAGACATCTCAGACATGGGAAAATGAGAGCCTTATGAGTTGCTCTTTGTGATAAGACAATTTTCAAGCACACAGGGACTGGAATGGGACATCAGCCTGACTCTCATTTCTTCCCCTGAGGCGCTTATTTTGGGAATGCTTACAGATGATAAAAGCATGTTTGCATACTATGCACTCGGAAAGAAAATAAAGTCTCCTTCCTTGTTCCATGAGTGGCAATTAAGACAGCCCTCTCCTCCGAGCAAAGTCAGGGCGAAACTTGTGATGAAACCAGATTAAGTACTTCATTAGCCCTTCAATGCCTGGCAGCGAGGCCTGGCCCTGCCAGGTTCAGGCAGGCCAGGGAGAGACCCAACAGCTGCAGGAATTAGTGGTAATCGTGTGGAGCGTGTCTAGGGGGTGATTTGAGCTGTTGGAAAGACCTCAGCATGGACTTTCTCCTTTTTCTGTCTCCCATTAATCCCAAGAATTGCCTGTGTCTTGTATATCCCAGAACAGGAAGTGCCCACTTGGAAATTATTTTAAGGTTAATTGCTCATAGGGGACATTCAATTGTTGCCATGTTTCTGCAGTTACGCCCCTTCCCAATGACATCATGCTTTCCCATGGAATTTAGAAGTGCCACTGTCTCCAGAGACAGAGGTCAGTCCTGGAGCCTGGAGGGATGGCAACCTCCCCACGGAGAGGGGCATGGTCCGGCCTCCCTGTCCTCCCATCTCAGATCACAGGTTGGCAGTGGGGCCCAGGGGTCGGTGGGAAGTGATGGGGAGGGTGAAGGCAGCTACAGCCTCAGTCATGTACATCAGGGTACACGTAACTCTACCCACTTCCCTTCTCACACTTACCCTCAGCATACGGAGTCCGGGACAGGAATCAAGCCTCCTTCTGGCTCTTAGCTGAGGGCTGCCACTAGTGCCAGATGACAGAATCAGACATCCAGTGAGTTCTAGTCATGGAAGATGGACCACCTGCCCTGCTCATCAGACAGCCAGAAACTCTATCTGAAGTAATTCTTGGGAGAACTAGGGAGTGTATTAAATATTAGTGTCGACTTTTATGAAAGCAACACATTACGTAGTTTGCTTTCAGACCCCTGTAGTTGTAGCCTGCAGGCAATCAGGGTATGGCTTGTTCAGTGACAAAGCTCTAAAGGAGAACAGTTTTAGCAAGGAAAGAATTCTCTTGGCTTCCCCAAAGCAATACTATCTTGTGGCCCCTTAGGATATACATAATTGTAAATAGGACTTTGTTTCATCCCTAAGAGCAACTATGCTATCTGATGGCTTATATCTTTATAGAAAGAGTTGGTCAGCCTTGGTTTGAGATCCTACCCTCCTACTTATTAGACAGGCTGTCCTTGGGCAAGTCACTCAACAGCTCTGAGCTTCAGCGCCCCCACCTGGTAGTAACATCATTCAGGAGTTTATTCAAAGTAATATACCGTGTTTATTATAGGTACTACATGGCAGGTATTCAGTAGGTATAATTAATTGTCATTAATTAAAATCTCAGCTATCCTGTACCTCATCCTCCTGGGAAGCATCTTAGAGGCAGCTGTGGTTCCCGCTCTTTTCATGTCCTCTCCCAGGCTCCCTCACGGACCACTGAGATGGAATCTCTAAGCTTGTGGTTCTTAATCTTTTACTGCTGAAGGATTACTTGGAACATTTGTTAAAATGCTGGTTTCCTGGCCCCACCTACAGAGGCTCTAACTGTGTAGGTTTGCAACGAGGCCCACAATGGCATGGTGAGAAGCCTCCCAGATGGTTTGGACTCTGGTAATCGGGCTGACCACAGTTTGAAAAACAAGACCCTATGCATGAAGTGACCTGTATCTACATGAGTCTTTGTCATCTTGCGACACTGCTACTTGGCTATCATTTATCAAGTACCAACTGTGTTCAAAGCATCATGGCAGGATCTTTATATACATTATGTTATTATATCTCAAAAAGAGTCCTATGTTACACGAATTTGTGTCCTGGTTTTATACTGAGGACACTGAAATGGGAATACCCCAGCTAGCTCCCTCACTCACATGTCAGGCTCCTGGGCTGAGATGACTGGAAACCTGAGGGCTATTACTCATTCTTTATTTGTCAATAATTTTTGGTACACACACACACAAACACACAGAGAGATGTAAATATACAAATACATACACGTGAATGTACCTCTAAGTAATATTGCCTTACATTTGTAAGATAGATTTCTATTTATATATGTTCTATAGTTCCTTATTTATGTTGATATTTAATACTCAAGGGAATGACTATAACCTATGTCAAAGAATAGCCAAGGACTAAGAATGGTATGTGTTGGGTCTGAGCTTAATTTTTAGAGCAGCATTAGTCTGGCATCAGTTTACTTTAGAGTCTTCCTGAGAGCTCCGAAATAAAGTAACATTCTGAAAGGCACTTTTTGATTGAATACAGATGGGAAATGAGAAGCATCTCTTGGCATGGCTCATTTTCATAGCCCGGTGGCTTTGGGGCAGGTACTCAGTCTGGTCCAGTTCGTGGCAGGGTCTAGGACGAATTGTAGATGCCCCAAGTAAACTTAGGGTCACGTGGCAGTCAAGTCCACTTGCCGTGTGTATGAGACTGGGCAGAGATTTAACACACGATGAAGTTATCCATTCCCTTGTCTCGATGCACATGTAGGTTATTTCCAGTTCTTTGTTATTAAAAATAATGCTGCTGTGAACATTTTAAATGTGTCCTGGTGCACATGGGGAACTTTCTCAAGGAAATATACCGAGGAACCCAGTAGTGAGTCATGGTACCTATGCATCTTCAAGTTGATTAGGTCATGCTAAATTGTTTTCCAGAGAAACTGCTCATTTCCACCCTCACAGCAATGCGTAAGACCTGCTGCTATGCATTCTTGTAACACATTGTTCCTTCTGGTTTGTGATGAATGAACAGATCTCTTGCTAGTCAATTTGGGATGTGATAAGAGAGTTAAATAAATGCAACATTATGGAACATTAGGTACTGAATCAGTATTAGGGATCTTCAGGAAAGAGCTTGGTGTGTATATATATATATATATATATATATATATATATATATATATATATTTTTTTTTTTTGTATAAATGTCTTGCCGAGTGCTGGCACTTACATGTTTAACATATTTACATTCACTTGGTTGTAAAATTCTAGGCCCTGAATTGTCTTTCTCTTTGCTTTGTGTATTTTTAAAATCCTTAAAAGACTTGTATGCATTATATCTCTCTGAAATAGGCATAATTCCAGTCTATCACATAGGATTTTTGTGTGGGTTTATAATAATAGGTTTAATGGCTGAAAAGCATATGCAATGTTCATATAAATAATGAGGTTAGTACATCAAAACACAAGTGGAGGGATGCTCCCAGGCCAGATTTATGAGAGAAGACATAAACACAAAAAATCTTTCCCTGCCTTTAAGGACAGTAAAATTGCAGATATTTAATGACTGAGAGTGAGCCAGGATACCGAACAGCTGTGTCTGCCTAGCTTAGCAGGTGTCGGGTCCTCAGCCAGTCCCTACATTGGTGGCAAATTAAGGTCACTGAAAAAGGCAGCTCTTGCTCTTCCTGTCACCTTCGAGTCACTTGCAAAGCGGTGCAATGTTGTCCTGCAGGAAGGCAAGCACGCCTTCCCGGAATCAGAGGATACGGAGAACTCACAATGTCCAAGGGGTGTTGGAACCCCAGGAAGAAAGATGTGGCATTTATCCTCTTTGTTACTAAATTTCCAGACTGAATCCTGCTCGAGCTGATCACCTCTCGAAGTTACCTTCTCAGTGCCCAGCAGCGGTCTGTGAAATTAGGTGGTGACTCAGCTGTGTCTTTGAGAGACAGGTGTCCACTTCAGGAAACCAGCCAGCCACTCAGCAGTTCTCCTGACAAAGGCAATCAGCCACTGAGTAGTCGGCATCTGAGTCGATGGCAAGAAGGCATCTCTGGGAGGCAGAACGGAGGCAGCCACCGCCCCCCCTTTACAAATAAATCCAGAACAATCCAAGAAATTCCTATGTGCCTTCCGTTGTGTTCACAGCAGCGAAGTCAGCCTCTGATGGGAGAAGGAGGGAGGAAGACTGTTTCAAGGAGCTCGCAGTCAGCGATGTCCTCTGATTAAAAAGAGAAGAGAGGCAAGAAGAAAAAGAAACCACATCTGTTGTGCAGCGAAAATAAACCTTCACCCTCTTTGCTTACAAAATTATCATCTACAAACACCAGTGGTTTTCAGAAAAAGATGGGTAGCATAAATAAAGGAATAGGTGCTTTATTAGATGTGTTTCCCACATCTAAGTGGGAAGAGAGCAGAGGTGCAGAACAGACATCCTTTCCAAATATGGAGAGCTGGGGGCAAGCTGGGCCCCTCATACCGAAGAGGGCACTGTCTTTGGACAAGTGCTGCTAGCTTCTGGGTGTTTGACACTGTGTTGGGGTGGACTGGACCAATGTCAGCCCAGAAAAATTGGAGCAGCCTGGGTATATCTGGAAGCAAATGCTCCACAGATGGAGAGAGAAGTAGGAGGTTAGCTCAGACCACTTGCTTTTAATTAAACAGCTTTCAATTTC